CAAAGTGTTCATAATTAGAGCTCCATAAACCATAATTACAGCAAACTGTATTATTGCCATGCGTATGAGCAACAAACACCAACTTAGTTTCATAGGGCCGCTGACAGCTATGCCAATTATAGGATTTTGGTATCTGATTATTTTGTTTAACAAAGAAGGGTCATTTTTAAAGTTTGAGTAGAAGTATAAAATGTGCTTCATTAAATTTGGTATTTCAGTGACTGTTAATTGACCCTGAAATGGTGCAGGCCAAGCGAGACTTATGTTTGCTTTATTGTGTTTTTATTCTCCTGTTAGCTCTTTGCGCTCATGGACATGAAGCCTCCAATTTCTCGTGCAAAGATGATATTAATCACAAAGGCAGCTATAAAGGCAATAAAGGTAAAGATGTGTTTAGTTCATTACTGCTATTCTTGATGAATGAAGCTATACATTTTTTCTCATTTACTGTTTTTTCTCCCCCCCTCCCCCCCCACCTAGCTTTACAAACATGTTGTCCAGATTGTGGAAAAATTCATCAAGAAGGTGAGTTTCTTTACGAATTTTATTATTTCAACTATGTGTTTTTATTTTGTTTCACAGATGGCCCAACTCAAACACCTTATTGAAGAATGTTGTGTATACCTGTAATAAGAAAAGTGTTAGTACTCCCATTTCTGACCTCTATCTGATAGCTAGTTTCCTGGCCGTCTAGCTTCAGTACTTATAAAAAGCATTTTTTCTGTCTAGGGATTTAAGTGTCGGAAATCCTCAGTTCTGTACTTGTTTGGGCCTGCTGGTGTTACTGGCAAAGCATCAGCATGACTGATGGGGGACTAACTTTCTATTAGAGAGGTCAGAAGTGTTTCTCACATTGTCTTGTGTCGGCTGTACTTCAAGGTTGATTTAAGGGGCCATTCACACCTCTGCGGTGTGTTTTTCTTTAGCTTTTGCCATTGTGCAATGCACTTACAGCGCGGCGGGTGTGTTGCATTGCCATTCATTTGATCAAAACACCTTTATGCACCTCTCGGCCGCAATGCTCTCCGCTGTGGTGCAATGCTTGTGGAATGCATTACTTTTTTTCACAGCAACACATGGTATTGTGGTACTGTGCATTGCACTGCGATGGAGCGCATTGTGGCCGGGCGGTGCAAACAAGGCACTGCAGCAGTGCTCCTTAATACAGAACTTGGGTTTGCATTATTTTAGTGGTAAATGACAAATCGTGAGAACAGCAAAAATGAAGATTTGTAAAGTGCACACACAATGGATGTTTTTAAAAACGGGGTGGGAGGTTCTGGTGATTCCAATGGTAGGTGTGCAAGCTCCTGAAACAGGCTGAGGTGTCCTGGTGTAGTACTAAAAAAAAAATGCATAGAGGAGCGTCCCAACCTAACGCAATTACTGGCAATGGGAACTCGATTGCTAGCTGAGTCTTGCAAAACAAAACGGTGAACAATTGAGTTAATGGAAGTAAAATGGCACTCGCATGATCATGGGATGTTCAACGTCCTTCAAGAGATGAAAGGGTTCCTTTAGCTTGAATTTGATTGTCCTGTTCCGTTACAATGAACAGCTCTGGTGGTCAGTAATTGCTGATTAATAGCTGGCTGAATTGCCTGGACAAGCTGTTGCCTGTACAATTCAAGCTAAAGGAATCCTTTCATCTCTTATCACAGCAATACATCTCTTGAAGGATGTTGAACATTCCAAGATCACGTGAGTGCCATTCTACTTCCATTACATAGTTACATAGTATTTGAGGTTAAATAAAGACATAGGTCCATCAAGTCCAACCTATTGCGTGTATGCATTTATGTTTGAGCAGGTGTGTGCATGTACCATGAGTCCATGTGTGATTTTGCTCTTCAGAGTACTTGTACCCCTTTTATGTTCTGGTCTCCAAGGAACTCCTCCAGGAGTCTCTTGAATGATTCCACACTCTTAGCTGAAATCACTTCCTGCGGCAGAGAGTTCCAGACCTTAACCGCTCTAACTGTGAAGAACCCCTTGCGCCCTGTATGTTGAATTTTTTTTTCCACCAATTTGTGGTGGTGCCCTCTGGTCTTTGTTACGGAGCTAACCGTAAACAGTTTGTTTAATAATGTTGCTGTCGCTGTTGACAGCGACAACTCAATTGTTCACTGTTTTGTTTTGCAACACTCAGCAATCGAGTTCCCATTTCCATTAATTGCATTAGGTTGAGGCGCTCCTCTGTTGCATTTTTTTGTTTTTTTTGTAAGTGACAAATAGGCTTCATATATTAGATTCCCCAGCTATTACAACGTTAGACCTCTCAGGCATTTTCATCTGTGTGAATGAATGACTTTGTTTTTGCAGCAAAACTACTGAGTGGTAAGGTTTTTAGTTTTTAAGCAGGGCTGTGCTTGCTGTAATGATACAACTGGCCATGGCCAAGGGCATCCGTGTTAGCAGATCAACACCAAGTCAATATTTACAAAACGGTTTCCTATATTATTATTCCAAAAATATTCAGAAGTGCAGAAAGTCAGCAAGATAGCTCAGGGGAGATGGTATACAGAGCATACTTGGACAACTCCTAAGGCTTTTATTATTTAGAAAACCCAACGCCATCTCAAACTCTTGTTTGGGTGAACTATGTAGCTAAGAAGCAGCTCTGCGAACAGATGACCACATGCCATCTCCAATAAATGGCACATCATTTCCCTGAAAATAAGACAGTGTCTTATATTTTTTTTTCTACGAAAAAAGACACTAGGTCTTATTTTCAGGCATGTCTTACCTGGCTGCAGCGGTCCGCTCTGCCGTCCCAGGGAGCCACAGACATGTGTGCGGGGGGCGTGCCTGGAGGGAGCTGCGGCTAGCGCTCTGATGCCGTCCAGGGAGCTGCTCTGGGTGCTCTGTGAGCCGGTCATAATGCATTGTGGTCAGGATGATGAAGAGCCGCTCGGCTCAGTAACGGTTTGGTGGGGGGGCGTGCCTGGCGGCAGGGATCTTTCGGGGGAAACACGGTAGCTGTAGGGGCTAACATTCAGGCGTAGATAGGAGAGCATTATGTTTAAATTTAGTCCTGGATATATGAAGCTGGTGGGGGATTGACTCTCTAACCCACATAGTGTAATCCATTTTGTGTGGGGATAAGTTATTCAGTGCAAGTTATAAAATCTGTCTGTTTTGTTTGCTGCAACTTTAACAATTTGAATTATTTTTCAGTGTAAACCAGAATATAAGGTCCCAGGATTGTATGTAATTGATTCAATAGTTCGTCAGTCTCGTCATCAGTTTGGAATTGATAAAGATGTGTTTGGTCCAAGATTTACTAAGAACCTAACGGCAACTTTCCAGTGTTTGTATCTCTGTCCAGAGGAAGATAAGGTAGATCGTAATAAGTAGCAAATGTCTGTACAAAAGTTTTTTTAAATGTTTTTTTGTGCTGGTAAATGTCCTTATTCTTTAACTTCTTTAGGTGTGTGTTTGTGTACTTATGACCGTTGGGTGCCTTCCACATCACAGTGCTGTAAACCATGTACTGGGTTACAACATGTTGGCTTGCTTTGCTAAGCTCTTTAAAAATACTCGCTGACATGCTGATGAGTTTAGTACGTTGAGTAACTGTTCCCATGCAAGCAAGCAGATTTGGAGTTCTGACTGTCCTGATCTGCATGTTTGTTTCAGGTCAGGGCCTCAGAGTATTAAAGTTGGAGACAGCCATGAAGTTAACATTATTAAAGTGACTCTAAACTCAGGAGTTAAATCTTAATGTATTCAAATACTGACAGTCCCTGAGTTACATACATCTGACTTGCATACGACTGCTACTTACAAACAGAGGCTATTACTGTACAGTAGGGGTAGTTGTAATGCTACCGCACTCATGGCGACGAGGAGTGCCCACGTTTTTGCGTCTGGTTCGTAGTACTGTACGAACATTACAGGAAGTTGGCTCTTGTTAGACGTGCAGACGAGGGGTGCCCGCCTCTTCTTGCGGGTCACTATGAGATTTTCACTGCTGTCTGTATCCTCATTAGAAAGATTTAATCTCGCTTCCTGTCCTTGAGACAACAGGAAGTGAAAGGAAATCTACCCCTAGGAACGGAAATTCACTCCTGTAAGAGTGATCATGGAAAAAAGGTGTCTCCACCGAAGCTTTATCGCCAGTCCTTGTTTCCACAACAACCCCACATTTTCAAAGTCCAATTGTCACAGGGACAGAAAGTGAAGTGAAATCTTCTGAAGAGGGGCACACACAGCAAAACAAACTTTACAGGGGGTTAACCCTTCCCTATGCTATTCAAAACAAACAAAAAAATTTGGCTGGAGTTGCACTTAAAATTTTTTACCACTTGCATACACATTCAACTTAAGAACAAACCTACAGAACCTATCCTGTTCGTAACCCGGGGACTGCCTGTACCTTTTAACTATTAAAGGAGAACTGTGAGGCGAGTGCTTTTCACTCACCTCATAGTTCTAGCCGACCTGTGACAATGAGACTGTCACAGGTCGGCTCAGTAGATCGGGAGGTGAGCGAACACATACCTGGTTCGCTCGCCTCTCGATCCTGTCACGGCTCTCTGCCGTGACAGGGGGAGGGGCTGGATTCCCCTCTCCCCGCTCCGATCTGCCAGTGCTGACTGGCGGAAGGGGAGGGGGCGGGAACAGCTGGCTCTGCCTCTAGATAGGCAGAGCCAGCTGTCACTCACGCAGCTGGGCGGATCCCGTCATCTAAGTCGGGATCCGCTGCGGTGTCTCAGTATACCGCGAGCTGTAGCTTGCGGTATACTGAGCTTGGGGTGACGGGAGAACGCTAGTTTGTGTCCTCCCGTTACCCTAAGGAGAACTATGGGGAAAAACACTGACCCCATAGTTCTCTAACAAAAATTTAGCTTTTTGTGTATCATCCTCACACTGTCCATTCTTCTGGAGTGGGGCTACTTTTGCTCCCCATGGTCCCTGTGTGTGTTGTAAAGTAGTCACCGCTCCAAGCTCACTCCCATGATGGACTACAATCGCATTACAAATGAGTAAATTAAACATGAGATTGTAGTCCATCACAGGAGCGAGCTTGGAGAGGTGACTACTTTACTTTACAACACACAGGGACCATGGGGAACAAAAGTTGCCACCCTCCAGAAGGAGGGACTGTGTCGGTACCATTTCAAAGATGGTTGGAGGTTCTTCAGCTCAAATAAAATAGTTTTGTTAATGGGGTACTTGAATGCATTTTTAAGGGTTTTTTTCCTGAGTTTTTAGTGCCATTTAAGTCGCTCTTGAATGACTGGCGAAAAACTAGATCTCTGCAAGACTTCACACTGTACAAAGCGGCCCTCCTAAAATATAATTCCTTCCTCGGTGCTGCCAAACAGATTTATTTTGTCACGCGTTAACAAACTCTTATCCAGACCTCGCCAACTCTTTTCTACTTTTAACTCTCTATGTCCTCCACCACCCACTAACTCACTCACTGCCCAGGACATTGCCATTCATTTAAAAATCAAAATAGATACAATTTGGGATCAGATCACCACAGTGCAGTCACCTTCCCCTATTCATGTACCAGACCCTCCATCACACTTGTTACTTTCCTCTTTTGACCCTGTCATCAGAGAGGAGGTTACAAAGCTTCTCTCTGACACACACCTCACCACTTGCCCCCTGGACCCTGTTCCCTCACCGCTACTTCGGTCACCCTCTTGCTCTATCTTAGACTCTCTTGCTCACATTTTCAATCTCTTACTCTCTACTGGAATCTTTCCCTCCCCTCTGAAGCATGCCCTGGTCATCCCAATACCCAAAAAACCCTCAATGGACCCTACTGACCTCAATAATCTCAGACCAATCTCCTTACTCCCATTGACCTCCAAACTCCTAGAACGCCTCATCTACAGCCGCCTAAGTCGCCAACTTGCTGATAACCTTCTCGACACCTTACAATCTGGCTTTCGCCCCCCCTACACTCCAATGAAACCGCCCTCCTAAAACTCTCTGACTTCTAACAGCTAAAAACAATGGCCACTACTTCTTACTCTCACTATTAGACCTTTCTGCTGCTTTTGACACTGTTGACCACCTGCTCCTCCTCGCCTGCTCTCTCGTGGTTCTCCTACCTATCTAAGCGCTCCTTTTAGTGTCACCTACAAATCTAACTCCTCTCTTCCTCTTTCTGTAGGGGTCCCTCAAGGCTCTGTCCTTGGACCCCTCCTCTTCTCCATCTACACCTCCTCCCTTGGTCAGTTAATAACCTCACATGGCTTCCAATACCATCTCTATGCCGATGACACTCAAATTTATCTTTCCACTCCACAACTCTCCCCCTCAGTGTCCTTGCGTGTCACTAATCTACTAACTGACATATCAATCGGGATGTCACAACATTTCTTAAAACTCAACCTTTCAAAAACTGAGCTCGTGATATTTCCTCCACCCCGTGCACCTTCCCCCAACTTTTCCCTTGAGTTTGTCAACGCAACTATCCAGCCCTCCTCCCACGCCAAGGTGCGAGGTGTCATCCTTGACTCGGACCTCACCTTTCTTCCCCACATCCAATTGCTATCCAAATCATGCCGCCTTCACCTTCGTTACCTCTCCAAAATACGCTCCTTCCTCACCAATGAAACCGCAAAATTATTCATCCACTCTCGTTATATCTCGACTATTTCTCCTCATTAACTCCCTCCTCATTGGCCTTCCACTTCACAGGCTCCTCCCCCCTTCAGTCTATCATGAATGCAGCTGCTAGACTAATTCGCTTTACCAACCGCTCAGTGTCTGCAACCCCCCCTCTGTCAATCCCTACACTGGCTTCCACTCGCCCAAAGGATAAAATTCAAAATATTAACAATCGCTTACAAAGCCATCCACAACTCTGCCCCGGCTATATCTCAAACCTTGTCTCAAAGTATCACCCTAACCGTCGGCTCCGCTCAACCCAAGACCTCCTGCTTTCCAGCTCCCTTGTCAACTCCTCCCATGCTCGCCTCCAGGACTTCTCTCGAGTCTCTCCCATCCTCTGGAACTCTTTACCCCAACCTGTCCATCTGTCGCCCACCTTGACTGCCTTTAGGCATTCCCTAAAGACTAATTTCTTCAGGGAAGCCTATCGCACCTCAACCTAACGGCTCAACCATCACGTTGCCCTCACGGGCAGGGCCCTCCTTACCGTCTTGTCTTGATTTGTCATGTGATTGTAATGTCTTCCTTATAATGTAAAGCGCTGTGCAAACTGTTGGTGCTATATATATATATATATATATATATCTATAT